AGGAGTGCGCACTGGACCACCCTCCCCCCTGAACGTCCATGATCGCAACCCAAGGACGTAAACTTGACCAGTCTAAAACCCTAAACCCTAAACCCTAAACCCTAAACCGTGTCAAGTCCAAAGCGCCACTCCAGTGTGCCCCCGCACCCTGCGCCTTAAAAACCGCCTTGAAGCCCTGAACTCCATGGTCCGGCAGCCCTGAAATCCTACCTGAGCCCCAAAGACTTACATACCTTTTGTAGGAACTATATTATAGAAACCATAATAAGGCACCCCCCCCCTTCCCCCCCCCCCCAAAAAAAAAGGAAAAGCACAAGAAAAGGTAGGTCTTTTCGGCTACAGGTAAACCTTAGTGCCGACAGTATCCTATAACCTCCAAAGTTCATCGAACAAGCCTTGGAAATCCCCCGAGCCGGGGCCCTACAAGCCTCAACCTCTACAACACTAGAAACCCTAAGCCCTACAAACCCGATAAGCCCGATGAGCCCTATAGACCCTATAAGCCCTATAAGCCCTAAGCCCTATAAACCCGATAAGCCCTATGAACCCTGTAAGCCCTATAAACCCTATAAGCCCTACAAGCCCTACAAACCCTATTAACCCTGGAAACCCTACCCTACAAACCCTTTCAACCCTTAAGCCCTAAACCATAAACCCTAAACCCTAAAACCCTAAACCCTGAAGCCCTAAACCCTAAACCCTGAAGCCCTAAACCCTGAAGCCCTAAACCCCTTCGGAAGGCCTGGACCTTCAACGAGCCGGTCGAGTCTTGGAACACCACGGCAGCGGTGGATATGCGAGCTTTGACCTTCTTGTGGCTGGTTCTTAGCAGGGCGTAGGTCTAGGGTTTAGGGGTTTAGGGGTTTTAGGTTTAGGGTTTAGGGGTCTAGGGGTTTAGGGCTTCAGGGCTTCAGGGTTTAGGGGTCTAGGGGTTTAGGCTTCGGGGGTTTAGGGTTTAGGGACTTCAATACGAGGACCTCACGGGGCTATCATAGGGATCTTAGGGTTTAGGGTTTAGGGTTTAGGGTCATTCCCTACTAAGAACCAGGGAGTGCCAGGTGACATGGAATTTGAGGTTCGGGCTCAGGGCTTTAGAGTTTCAAGCCTTTGGGGACTTGGGTTGGGGCTTAGGGTTTTGGGTGGTTTAGGGTTTAGGGTTTAGGGTTTTAGGGTTTAGGGTTTAGGGTTTAGGGTTTTGGGTTTTGGGTTTCGAGTTTTTGGGGCTTAGGGTTTCGGTTTTCTTGGGGTAGTAGCGCTGTTGGTTCTGTACTTGGGGTTGCCCGAGTATGTTGTACAGGGATAGGAAGTACTAGAAATGCTGGGTTGCTAGAGCATGGTTTTACGGGGATGGGAAGCTACTGGTAAAGGGGAACCCTCTGAAAAAGGGGAACTGGGCAGCCAGGTTTTGGTAAAGGCAGAATTGCCGACGAGCTCTGTAAGCTGCATTAGTCTGACCTTGCCGAATTTCGCCTTCAACATGTCGTGATCTGTGGAGATGTTGGATCCTCGCTACTCCGAACCCAAAAATGTGAATCGGGCCTCCTGCCTGTCCTTTTGGGTGTAAGAGTTTAGGCTTTATAGGGTTTTGCATTTTTGTAGGGTTGAGGGTGAGGCCCGATAGCCTGTGGTGCCTAAGGATCCATGTTTTGCTTCGCGGATCGCTTCAATCAGCCGCTGTCTACCTGGAATACATCCTCCGTGACCGACATGAGCTTTATGCTCCCAGGCGGCATTCCAACACATGTTGAGTCGCTGCGGCGCATTTTTCTGGAGAGATGTAAATGTACGGTTGCCACAAGCACCCTGCCATAACTCTGCAGTGCTTACGAGAGCTATTGACGAGAATACCAATTTGCAGAGCTTCAGAGTTAGCATTTTTGGTATAATATAGAGGCCTCAATAATTACCTATATTAATTTGGGGGTTTCTTATTATAACTATAGTATAAGGGTCCCCAAAACCCTATTCTAATTATTAAGGCCCTACAGTAGCATATCTGGTATAGAGGTTTTCTAGACGCCTTGTAGCGGCGTCGGCTCCTTGTAGCAATTTTTTCATGCAACATTCTGCTCCGCGGCTACACTTCATGAACTTTAGGGTTTAGGGTTTAGGGTTTAGGGGTTTAGGGTTTAGGGTTTAGGGGTTTAGGGTTTAGGGTTTCTTCATGAACTTTCCGCTTCCGACGAACCCAAACCTTGCCCGAATCTCACCCTAACCTCGAAACCCGAGAAGGCCTGCTGACTTGTTGGAAAAAACCCTAAGGGTCCAAAGGACCGAATTATCATGTACTTGGGTTACGGATAGCAGTTTCGTAGGCTCGTATTCAGAAGCGTTTATGATTCTTTTTAATGTACTTGGACCCTTAGGGAAAATGCCTAAACCCTATAACCCTAAACCCTTAAACCGAGGTTTGCCGGAGCGCCGGCCTTTGACCAACCACTCTCTACCTGGGACACGGATGCTCAGCGCACGTTTGGGCTTTCTAGCGTTCCGGGTTTAGGGCCTTTAGGGTTGAGGGTTATAAGGGTTTAGGGTTAAGGGTTGAGGATTTGAGGTTTAGGGTTTAGGGTTAAGGGTTGAGGATTTGAGGTTTAGGGTTTAGGGTCAAGGGTTTAGGGTTTAGGGTTTAGGGAGAGCTTTGGGGGCTTCAGGTTTTGCGATTCGAGGGTTTTGCCTTGAGGATTGGAGCTTGGAGTACCCAGATCTTCCAATATCCTTGAATCAAGGAGCATACCTTAAGTGGTACTAGGAGCCCTCATATGTGTTAAGGATACAATCAGGGCATGTTGGAAGATCTGGGCCACCTGTGGGTCCACCCAGAAACCCATTCGCAAGTGCACCGTAAGTTTTGGGTTTTAGGGTTTAGAGTTCAGCGTTTAGGGTCCCGCCAAACAGTGCACGAACTTACGCCAGGCATCGGTCAGGAACATCCGCCAACCGTAAGCCCTAAACCCTTAAAACCTCAAACCCTAAACCATAAACCCTGAAACCCTAAACCCTAAAACCCTAAACCCTAAACCGTGGCTTGACCTTTGTCTGCGGAGCGAAAGTCCCAAAGCACTTTTAAACAAAAAACCCAGGCACCGGTCAAGAACATGAGCGGCATGTTTCCAATCTTAAGGCCTAAACCCTAAACCCCTGAACCCTAAAGCCCTCAGACCCTAAACCCAGGCATCAGTCAAGAACATGAGCGGCATGTTCTTCCACGCCTGGTCCTTCAATCAGCCTCTCGAGAGCTGGAACACGGCCTCCGTGACCGACATGAGCAGCTGCCTGGCTTTATACGTTTGTATATGTATGTTCATGTGTGTTTGTGTATATTATATTATACTGTAGTATTTAAACTATATTCTTGTAACCATATATATATATATATAGATATATATATATATATATGTATGTATATGCATAACATATTATATATATATAGACATACATATTATATATATATATATATACATATATATATATATATATATATATGTAAGTATGCATATATACACACATTTTTATGTAGATAATGGTTTTATGTAGATAAGGAGCCTATATCAGCTGGGGCTGCAGCTCTTCATGCATTGTATCGTTGGAAGTTGCGAAGTTCCGGGAGGGGTCTCTCGGGAGGGGGGTTTGGCTCCGGCTTCGTTGTGGGAAGTGATAGGGTTTAGGGCTTAGGGTTTAGGGTTTAGGGTTTAGGTTTAGGGTTTGGGGTTTAGGGTATAGGGTTTAGGGTTTAGGGGTTTCGGGTTTTTAGGGGTTAGGGGTTTCGGGATTGGAGTTGGCTCACGGCCGTCGTAGCTGCAGAATGTTGCCCTTGAGTTCGCAATTTTGGTTCTCACCCTGTGGATATCTCTTGACCAAAGTCTTTGGTGCTGCAAGGCGGGCCCCTGCATGTAGACTACGGTGTGTGCAGGTTTGAAGATTGCATAGCATGCGTTCTTCAGGTGTTTGAGGGGCCCATGAGTCATAAGGGCTTGTAGGACCTGATGTCGAAGGACACTAGCTGCGGCTTCTTCCTGGGTGAGGCTGAGAAAAATTTGAACTGCCAGGCCTTTGCAGCCAAGCATTGGCCGCAAAGCTTGGCTCCCAGAGCCTACAACCCCAGCACCTTAACTCCGAAGATTGCATCCCTCAGCCATGAGACCACGATGCATAATCCGGAGCTCTACACGACAAGGAATGTTTGCTTGCGCCGCCGACTTCAACCAGCCGATTGGCTCCTGGCACACCTCTTCCGTGACGAATATCAGCGCTGCTCGGAGATGGTTTGGGGGTTATTGGGGGAGTTTGAGAGGCTAGGATTTGATGTTTGGGGTTGCGTCGGTCGGGGTTCGCATTCAAGGGTTGGGGCTTTACTATAGGGGCCTTAATAATTAGAACAGGGTTTGGGGTATGTTATTCTATAGCATGATAATAAGGAGCCCCCGAAACCCCATTCTAATTATTCAGGCCCCCATGTTAGGGTGTAGGGCCTAGGATTTCTGCAAAGTACATCTGACCTTGGCACTTCCTGGAGAATTGTGACACTAATTCCCTAAGGGTCCATGTACCCAAATAGTAGGTACTTTGACCTTAAAGTAGTCCCTATATAGGTACATTGGGGCCAAAGTATGTACTATTTGGGTACATGGACCCTTAAAGACCCTAAACCCTAGACCCTAAACCTTAAAGATTATTAAGGCCCCCACATTTCTTGTACGCCATGTAAGGGGAGTTCTTTAGGCTTTAGGGTTTAGGGTTTAGGGTTTAGTGTGTAGGGCCTAGGGTTTTTGAGGCTTGTGACCTTGCTGGTGTTGCCGGGTGGGTTTGAGACCGCTACATCAAGACCGCAAGATCCACAACAAGCTAAAAGCAGATAATGCATCAAGTAGTTCGGAGTTGGGAGACCGGGGTGGAGGGATACCGGTTTCGGGCAGGGAAGAAAGCCCTAAACCCAGCCCATTGCATCCTTAAGCCTTACACCCTAAACCCAAACCCTAAGCCCTAAACCCCAAAGCCCAAGCCCTAAACCCAGCCTATTGCAACAGGGGCCTTAATAATCCTATATACCCTAGACCCCAAACCCTGTAGAAAAGTAGGTTATGACCCCTTAATTAGAGGATAGAACCCTTCAAACGGTAGGTTTTGGGATCCCTAGGTATACCCTAAACCCCCAAGCCCTAAACCCTAAACCCTAAACTCTCTAAGCCCTAAACCCTAAACCCCCTAAAGCCTAAGCCCTAAACCCTAAACTCCCTAAACCCTAAACCCTAAACTCCCTAAGCCCTAAGCCCTAAACCCTAAACTCCCTAACCCCTAAGCCCTAAACCC